TTGTTAAGAGATTTTTAGATGCAATTTCACTTTTTTGGCAGTGCTAAGGACTGAAACAGGGCCTCATACATGCTAGGCAAAGGGCCTACCACTGAGCTATATCTCTAGTCCCTTAGAGTAAAACTTTTATTATTATTTCTTAATCTGATCACGTAATAATTACTCCTTGCTCTTCTGAACTCTTAACTTTCATAAATGCAAGACATAATAATGTGAATGCTAAATAACTCTTTAAGCATGTGAGGTGAACAAAGAGTACTTTATGAGGCTGAGGCCATTAATAAGTCCTGATAATTTATTTATTTATAATTTTTTATGTTCAGAATACTCAAACCAAGAGATATACTTTTACTAAAGAAATATCAGAAAATGTAACTTTCTGACTCACTAGAATTAAAAGGTAGCTACAATATAGCCTACCAAGTTCAATGCATATTATGCCAATTAAAAATGGTATTTAGTTAATTAATTACTAAGAACTAACTAAACTAAATTTTGATAAGCATAAATAATCTATCTTTCATAACAAACATTAATATTTCAATTTCTTTTACTCACTTGTCTTAATGTTAGGTACATATATAGTTTCACAGAAATTTCTAATCTACATATGAAAAGATTTAATATCTACTCTAAAGCAGTATCAAATTTCTTCAATCTATTTTTAAAAAGTATCTATTGGCCCACTTCACAAACATGTACCTAATGCCAGTTCTGAGAGCTCTGAAAATAAGTATAGTGCTTCCAAGGAACTCATCATCGTGTAGGAGGGTTCACATAAGCACTTGACTATTTCCTTATTTGCTTATTCTATTTAATCTGAGTTGTTCCAGCATGTTTTTTTTTTCCCAGCATGCTCTTAGAACAGTGAAACATGGGCAATCCATTCTTTTCAACAAATTTATTTAAAAAGTTTAAAGTAATATGTATAAAATTTAAGACAACTTCTTTTACTAATTACTTTTTTTTTTTGGTACCGGGGATCGAACTCAGGTCTTTGCGATTGCACAGCAGGTGGTGAAACCACTGAGCTAAATCCCTCGCCCACTATTAACTTTTTTATTAGCCACAGATCTCAAATGAAAATTATTATTATTGTTATTTTTGAGACAGGGTTTTGCTATGTAGTTCAGGCCGGCCTTGAACTTGCAGCAATCCTCCTGCCTCAGCCTTCCGAGTGCTAGGATTACAGGCATGCACCACCACACCTGGCCCATGAAAATTATCATTATTATTATTTTTTCCAACGCTGGGAATCGAACTCAGGACCTTGTGCTTGCCAGGAAAGCATGGCACCACTGAACTACATTCTCGGCCCTGAAAATTATTTTTGATAGGTTCTTACCTTTACAATGTTTCCAATAATAAGTTCTTGATTATTTTCAGCATCTGATAAAAGTTGCTTAATCCCATTAATACGATCACGAAAATCTTTTGCATTTAATAAACCTGTTATGACTTTAATGTACTCCACACTTTCTAAGGAATTACGAGGAACTGATTTTCTGGTGACCTCACGAACTTCAGTTACCTCTCTAAAGTGAAAGAAAGGTAAATTTAATTTCACTTTTCTTTTCTTTTTTTTTCACTTTTATTTTCTATAAAACCACAAACGTAATAAAAATTCATTATAAATTCATTTTTCAAAAATACACAAAATTATCTAACCCACAGTCATAAAATCTGTTTTGTAGGTCTTCGTGTTCTATCACAGGTTTGGTGATTTGCTGGGTGTAGGCATAGGTGCCAGTATATAGTTTTACTCATGATCAAGGCTTAATGCAGTAGGAGGTTAACAATCAGAATCAGCAGGGAGAAAGGTGCATGAATTCCAGTATAGAGGAAACCAAATACAAGCTGTCAAACAATGGCGAACAAAAAGATAAATAAATGAAAAGAGTAAAACAGAAAAACAATTCAAGAAGCCATCCTCAAAGATGGCTGTTTTGGTTCAAGACCGCATGAAAATGAGGAATAGCTGCTAAATATGAGTTTTTTGGGGAAGTGATGAAAATATTCTAAAATTGATTGTGAGAATGGTTGTACAACTTGTTGAGTATATTAAAAACACTGAGGGCTGGTTGTGTAGCTCAGTGATAAGAGTGTTTGCCTAGCATGCCCAAAGCCCTGGGTTCAATCCCCAGTGCCACAAAACATCAACAACAAAAACAAAATCAAAAAGAGATGAATTGCATCCTTTAAACAGCTGAATTATTATACAGTGTGTGAATTACATCTCCAAAACACTGTAATTAAAAAAAAAGATACAACATGTAAAGAAATTATTAATATTAGACAAAGTAGACTTCAGGACAAGGAATATTACCAGAGGTAGAGACACTTCATAAGGACAAAAAGATGAATTCCTCAGAAAGTCACAACCATCCTATATGTATCTGAACCTAAACACATTCCATCAAATTGTATGAAATAAAAATGATAAACCAGGAAGTATAACTAGACATATTCACAAATAGAGTTGGGGATGTCAGTACTGCAACTTCATCAACTGACAGAAAAAAAAGAAAATCAGTGAGGCTATAGATAGAAGAGACTTGAATAACATAATTTATCTTGATATTTTATAGAAAGCTACAATGAACCAGAGAAGAATACACATCTTTTACAGCACATATAAAAGAGCTGGGCATGGTGGCGTACGACTGTAATTCCAGTACTCAGGAGGCTGAGGCAGGATGATTGCTGTGAATTTGAGGCCAGCCAGGGCTGCATAGCGAGATCAAGGCCAGGCTGAACTACACAGTGAGACCCTGTCTCACAAAATTGAAAAAAAAGCAGATATAAAGTAGTCCCTAAGAAAGAACACATGCTGGATCATAAAACAAGACTGGACACCTTAAAAAAACCCTGAAATAGGGCTGAGGGTATAGCTCAGTGGTACAGTGCTCACGTATTATGTGCTAGGCATGTATTATGTTCAATCCTCAGCATCAGAAAAAACAAAAACAAGCCAAAAAACAAAGAACAACCCTGAAATTACCAAAATTATGTTCAATGAAACAAAACTAAAATCAAAATCATTAACAAAAAGATATGTAGGAGGACCATTTGGGCTGAGGAGTTTGGGGCCAGCCTGTGCAACATCAAAGTTCTAACTTACAAAAAACTAAAAATACACAACAAAATGTATCATGTATCATGCACTGAAAAGGGTATGGTATCACTTCTGTGGAATTCTAGCCTGAATCTGTGAGAAAACATCAGATAAAACCAAATGGAGATACATCTGTGAGATGAATAACTGACCTGCTGAGTATTTAGAAAAAGGCCAGCACACAGTATGCTTTCAAAGTCAAAGAAGCATTTTTTGATGGGCACAAAAAAAGTTTTGGACCAAAATGTCTGATTCAGGATCTTGTACAATTATGTCTCAATGTGGAAAAAAATGGTAGATTTTGATTCAGTAGGTCTGGAGGAAGTACAAGATTTTGCATTTCTACTAAGCTTCAATGTGGCTATTCTGTGGGCTACACTTTGAATACCAAAGCATACATATAATTTTGTACAGTTTGTTTATTTATTTATTTATTATTATTTTTTTTGGTACTGGGGATCGAACTCGGAATCTTGTGGTAGCAAGGCAGGTGTTGGAACCACTGAGCTAAATCCCCGGCCCCTAAACAGGTTAAATGTTACAAAATTACACATATAAAAGTACTTATAAAATGTTTAAGAGTAGTTTTTTCTGCTTGTTGGCATTATGGACACTTTTTAGGTCCTGAAGAAATAAACCTCATCTAATTTTTTTTTCTTTTCTTTTTTTCCCCCAGTACTGGAGACCAAACTCAGGACCATGCTCTTGCCAGGCAAGCAAGGTGCCACTGAGCCATATCCCTGGCCCATAAACCTCATCTAATTTTGACAAATATCCTGGACTGGTTCATGAAAGCATCCAGAGGAGACGTCTGTAACTAAGGAGTTACTCTCTAGTGCAGTGAACTATCAAATGAGCTTACTTCTCAGCTGAACTGACGGCATCTCTAGAAACAGATGGTGATCTTGTACTTCCAACACTGCCAGTATGAGATCGCCTTCCTTTTGCTGAAGGAGGATCTAATGGCATCTCTCCCAAACCCTGTAAGTATAAGGGATAATCGAAAAATACAGTCAATGCTTAAATGAAAAAAAAAAATAAACCAGTGAAAGAGAAATTGCCAACAATGATGGGATACGTGTGTTCAAAGTGAGGGGGAGTACTTTTAGGGGGATTAATAGCAATGTGTGTTTTACTATAATACACTTAGAAAAGTGGTGTGAGGAAAAAAACTAGCAAAATAATTTACTCGAGGTAATTTTCAAGGCGGCTTGATAATATATTAAGTATTTTAATAATCTGATACACATGCTTTTTTTTTTTTTTTTGGCACTGGGGATTGAACTCGGGTCCTTGTGGTTGTGCAGCAGGCGGCAAAACCACTGAGCTAAATCCCCAGCCCTGATATATATGCTTTAAACGGTACAGGACACATAAACTGTCTTGTGGTTAGTAGTAAACTAATAAATATGTAACAGGAAATTATATTCTGACTCCTTAAAACAAATTGTTGAAAAACTGTTTTGGGGACTAAGGGTATGACTTTGTGGTAGAGTACTTGCCCAGCATATGGTGAGGCCCTGGGTTTATCCCCAGCACAGCAATAAATATTTACTTTCAAAGCCTGATACTGCGTATGTCTACGTAGTACCATAGTTGTTGAAATACTAATGTAGATGTACTTCAAATGATTAGCAAATCCCAGAAGTAATTATTTCTATTCTTTGCCTTATGGGAAAATAAATGTGGTTTTAAAGTTGTTTATATAAAAAAAATTCTACATACCTTTTGCCGTAAATTTTTAACAGATTCCTTAATATATGGCAAATCTTTAGATGGGACATATTTTTCAAGCATTTTTTCAAAGTTAGGATGACACATCATGAGGAAAAGCATCTTTCGACCGTAATACCTATGGATATTTGAGAAATATGTAAATGAATTTACATGTATTATTATGTTCAATTTTTCCCCTTAGATGCAAAATTTTTTTTCTGTTTTGGTACCGGGGATTGAACTCAGGACCTCATGCTTGCCAGGCAGGCCCTGTGCTGCTAAGCTAAACCCCCAACCCTAGATGCAATTTTTTTCAACAGGAGAAAAAGCAATCATATCAAGATAACCATCCCACTTCAAGTAAGCCACTGAAATGTGTGTACATTAGCGGTATTAGAGGGTATAAGATTCTCCTGCTCCCCTATTTCCCTCCTTTTAAAATCACCAGTAGCCTAAATCTTTCAGCGATGTGTCAGATGGACAATAAAGAGATCTGACTATTTTTCAGGCACACTTGGGTCCATACTCAAGGCTGGCAGCATTTGGCAGAATTGTGAATTAGGAGAAGTCTTCTTTGTTCTGGGTTCCTTATCCACTGATCTCTTGTGGTTTACCTGCTGGCTAAACGTTCTGGCCCAACTCAACCTTTCTTGTGTTCTGTATTTCTGACCACTCCTCTCTTCTTCCCTAAGTAAAACTTACCTGGGTCCCAATTCTTCAAAGTCCTATTCTCTATTACTTAAAAGAGACACAAGGTTGGATAAATTGTGGTTGATGTTATTAAATGACATAGAAATCTCCAAACCAGAATTTTCATGTCATGTGCATTTAAAAAAAATCCCCTAACAATAAGATTTTAAGCCAAAATATCACTCTAATGGTAGATATTCAGATATCATGGAAGTACATATTGCAGATATTTTAGGACAGAGATGCCATATATAGTATCTCACAATAACACTAATTGCTATTCTTTAAGGAAGTCTGGCCCTAAAATAAATTAGTGATATTTTTGCTTATAATCTGGAACATATGGTATTAAGAAGAATGAGAAGACAACCTTTTGGGGGAGCAGGATAGAACAAAGTTAGAATTAACCAGATCCCTTAAAGTGTAACTAAATTTCACACAGGTAGCTGATAGCAGAGAAAAAAAAATTAACTTTTCCCATGACTACTCAGATAAGTAGCTCCTAATTAGTTATGCTTTCAAGAAGAATTCTAATTTTTAATCTGGAATATTAAGGCATACCACAGGATCTAACAATATGTGAAAGGGTAAAACAAACAAGCATCCCAACAATAGGGGCACAAAATATGAAAAATAATAAAACTCAAAAACTGAATGTAACTATCTGATAATTTAAAAACCTGGGCCGGGGATTTAGCTCGGTGGTTTCGCCGCCTGCTGTGCAAGCACAAGGACCCGAGTTTGATCCCCTGCACCAAAAAAACAAAACAAAACAAAAAAACCCCCTGAATCTACAAAAGACAAAACAGGTTAGAATTACTATGCCATTAAAGACAGGCTTAGTAGGGGCTGGGGTGTAGCTCAATGGCACAGTGTTGACTGGTTGTGAAAGGTGCTGGGTTCAATCCTCAGCACCACTACCACCAACCAAAAAAAAGATGCACATACAACAAATATTAAGACTTTCTCTTTTTTTTTCTTTCCCCAACCTGGGAATCGAACTCAGGACCTTGCACTTGCCAGGCAGGCGAGGTGCCACTGAGCTACATCCCCAGCCCTCTCTTATTGTTGATAACTACTGTAGTCTATGATCTGACCCTTCCTGAATTTTTTTGAACATGAATGTAGTATATAGACCTTCTTAACCTTTTTTACTCAAACTGGGTATGGTGGCACACCCCATAATCCCAGCACTTAGGAGGGTGAGGCAAGAAAATTGCCAGGAATTTGAGGCCAGCCTATGCTACATAATGAGTTTAAGGCCAGGCTGGACTATAGAGTGAGATCCTGTCTCAACTCAATCAAACCAAATCAAACAAAATGTTTTACTCAAATCCCTAGAATCTGTGAAGATGATGAAGTTATATTACTTAAGACAAAGAGATGATTTGGATGAGTCTAATCTAATGAAACACTGAACCCCATGCAAGGAAAGAGAAGAGTTTTCTGCAGCTGGTTGTAGAAGGGGAAGTCAGAGAGATTCTAGGTCTGAGAGAAACTTAAAGACATCAGGATGGCTTGAGGATGGAGGAGGGCAACATTAGAAGGAACGTGGGTGATCTTAAGGCACTAACCGAGGACTCTAGTCCTATAATCACACTGAACCGAATGTGGCCAATAGTAATTTGCCAGCAAACAAGAGACCAGGACTGCAGTTACACTTACTTTTATTTTAGCCTTCTAGGTCCCCATGGAGGGAACCCAACTGATCCATGCCAGAACTCTGACCTAAAGAACTGTAGGTAAATAATTTATGTAGCCATAAGCTACTAATATTTGTGGTAATTTGTTACACAGCGGTAGAAAACTAACACATTTACCTTTTGCATTAGCTTTTGGTGGAATGAGTCCCACAAGATTAACTCCAGTTACCTAAAGTAACAGACATCTGTCTGAAAACGTTAAAAATTTTAGTCTTCTTTAATACTTACAAACTCAGGATCGTTTTTCCCCTTTTTAAATTATCATCATATATTACTGCTATAAAAGTTTAGATTTTGTATGACAGATTCCTGGTCACCTGGCCTAAGCTTCCTAATTTTACAGACAAGACAAGGATTAACAAAGATTAAGTGTCTTGCTTAAGGGCAAACGGTGATGTAGAGGAGGAATTTCACCTAGGCGTCTGACAACCGTCAGACCCTAAAAACAGCTATCAGAAATTCATGGAGTTTTCTATGTGCAAATACTTCATTTTTCAGAGGATGATGATGTTATGCATTATTTCTGTATTTTTCATGTGTGTTCCTATTTTCTTGATTTTTATCTGATTGCTTGGAAAAATATCATTTTCCTCTAAATGGATTACCTTACATTTGCCCACAATGAAGTTCTTCTGCCATTTTTCTGCCCACTCATAGTCTTGTGTCGTTTTCATGAAGTTCATCCCTGTGACTTGGCATCTCACTACCCAGAAGTATGTAGTGTCATCTGTAAATTTGGAGAATTCACTGTGTGCTCCCTCGAGATCATTTATTTACATATTGGTTAAATGAGACCATCCCCCAACACCAATCCCTGGGACCCTACTTCTCCATTTAGAAAAATGTTCATTTGCTTTTAACCTTTGTTCCCTGCGTCTACGCCCTTATATTAACTGACTTAACAAATATTATTGGCAGCTATTTACCTGGTTTCTTGTGAGCTATCTTGAGCAAACTTAGCAGCAGCTGGTAATAAACGTTCAGCCATATCTTTCATTCCAGTTAAAATACGTTCTGGTTCCATAAATTCTACTATATCTGATAAGTGCTGGGCTGTACATCTTCTTACTGCAATGTGTAAATGGCTATAAGGAAACATGATCATTTAAACTAAGTCAATACATGAACTGTTTCCAAAGATCTTTAATGATTAAACAGCTTCTCAAGCAATCACCTTGGGAGGCAAAAATAATCAATTATTTGGATCAGTTATCCCTTCCCAAGAGGTTAAAAACAAAATTCATAATCAAGAACATTTATTTAATTTCAGACTTATGAATGTAAGTAATATTATTAGAATAACAATATTGATTCTTTTTATGCTGAGCATGCAATATGATCCTTATCACATAGGAATTAAGGCTTTTTGACTGAAATTTGCTCCCCCCAGTATACCCATGGTCACAGACTATTTTTAGTTTAAGGACACTTCAAAATTATTCTGAACATTACCTTTGCCCTCCACTGATGAGAGCAATGACTGCACGTGCAGGAGTGACGTTGTTAACCATAGCTCTCAATGCTTTGTCAACATCCTCTCTTATGAATGTATTTGATTCTCCAGCCTTGTGCAACAACACTTTGACTGTTGTATCTAGTTCTTGATCCATGCTCTTTTTCAGGTAAGTGAAAAGATCACTTAAACAGACCACAGCGGCGCGAGAAACCCCAGAGCGTAAATTTTTCACCTAAAAAAATTTTTCAAAACATATATTTTGCTGATATTCTGAAAAAAACCCAGTAATAACAACTTTGGAAAGAGAATTAGTATTAAAGTAATCTATTTATTATGTACGAGCTTGCATCCTAAAAATCAGTATCTAATAATTTTTTTTAAAATGTAGCAAATTAAGACACGGGCTACTTTTCATACATGATGATCCATCATAAAATGTAGAGATGTTTAAGAGTTTTAAAGGTCAAATGAGTATGGTATATTTGTTCTTTTTATTCAAACAATCCTTAAATTATCTAAAAAATTTACCTCTTGGACTACTGCAAAATTTGCTTCATGCAACTTAGTGTTCAGTATCTCAGAATGAAAAGCAGCTAAGCATCTAATAAAATTCAGTCCCTCAATTTTCTTCTCCCTATGGAAAAAGGAAATGACAAAATCATTTATTAAATACAGTTCAACAGAAACAAGATCTCAAATGTCTTCTTTTTTTGTATATGGAATACTGCCAACAAGGAGACTTTTTCTATTTTCCTTTATTTAGGAATCTCAAAAAAATGAGAATACATGTAAAATACCTTTTAAGATTCAAAACCACTACTGACAGTCAAACTAAATTCATCTTTTTTGTAATGAAAGGAACATTTCTTCCTTAGTATAAATATCATATTCTTTCTAGACAGTAGGTGGATAGAAAAGAATGATATACAAAGGTTGAGAAAATAGTAAAACAAAACTGGAAGAAGAAAAGTTGAAAATGTATGACCCAAGAATGATAAACCACCATTACCTGTTTCTACAACTTGTATTTATTTTTTTATTATTGGATCTAATAAGCCAGATGAAGAGGAGATGGATACCTACAAGAGGGTAGAGTTCAGCTAGGATTTAGGAATAACATTTCAAACTTGATGGTTTTCACCTTGTAGGTTTGCAAAATATGAGCTAAGAAGAGTTCTCATACTTGGCAATAGTGCTTGTAGTCATTTTAAAAAAAGTATTTAAAGTTTTGCAAAGTGGTAAAAGAAACCCGGAGAGCGCAAGGTGGCAAGGACATTTAGTAGCACCCTGCCTCAAATTTTTCATTTTTTGGATAGTATAACACATTTTACTGTCACAGTTTAGACACAGAAACAACCCAATTCCATACACAGAATCAGAAAATAATAGAAAATAGAGTCAAGGAGACAGAAAAAGAAACTAATACATAGTGGCTGAAAATTTTCCAAATTTGATCAAAACTATAAACTCCTTCAGATCCAAGAACAAGCTAAACAGAATAAACCATAGAGATTATTATACATGGATCATCATAATCAACCTGCCGAAAGGAGTGTTAGAGAATATTCTCTTTTTTTTTTAAGAGAAGCACATGAGGAAATATATTTCTCTTCTGTAGTTATTTTGTTACTGTTATTTTAAGTCCACATATTATATAAAACATAACAGAGAAATCAGATTTATAAAACAAACTGAAGTATTTGGATGAAAAAACACAAGAGTTTTTCCCTTCATGTCTACAGATCCCTCAATAAAATTTTTTTTCCTTGAGATAGGGTCTCACTATGTTGTTCAGGCTGTTCTTGAACTCACTATGTAGCCCAGGTTGGCTTCATGGTGATTCTCCTGCCTCAGCCTCCCAGAGTGCTGGGACAACAGGTGTGTGCCACCACACCCGGCTAAATTGTTGGTCTTGCACTTTAGATATCAAAAAAAGATATCTAGCTTAAAAATAAAAAGTTGATATGCTACAAGGTTAAACTGTAGTTTAGTGATGGGCCAGGAAATGACAGATTTTCTAAATCTTATCCTAAAATATTGGTTATAACAAATGCTGATATGCAAAATCCAAGCTTTTATCAGATAGCAAGAGGGAAACTTGAGTGAATGAATGCAGTTTACCTCCAAGTTTAGAGAATATTCTTAAAAGAGGCCACAGAAAAAGACAAATTATATATAAAAACAAAGATAAAATTATAGATATTTTCAAGTCAGAAAATATGCAAGTCAGAAACAAAGTGAACAACATGTATTAAAAAGAAAAGAATACAGGGCCAGGGATTTAGTTCAGTAGTGTCGCTGCCTGCCTCGCAAGTGCAAGTCCTGAGTTCGATGCCCCGTACCAAAAAAATCCAAACAAACAAGAAAAGAAAAGAAGGGCCAGGGGTTTAGCTCAGTGGTTTCACTGCCTGCTGCACAAGTGCAAGGACCTGAGTTCGATTCCTGGTACCAAAAAAAAGAAAAGAAAAGAAAAGAAAAAATAAAAACCCAAACAAGCCAGCCATGGTGGTGCACACATGTAACAACACTCTGGGAAGCTGAGGCAAAGGATCACAAATTTGAGCCCAGCCTGGGAAATCCAGTGAATAAGAAATACAATACAATACACCAGGTATAGTAGTGCACTCTTGTAGTCCTAGCACTTGGGAGGCTAAGAAGCTTTCCTTTCTGGATGCTTCTAAGATTTTCTCCATCACTAATGTGATCTCCTGCCTCAGCCTCCCAAGAAGCTGGGATTACACGTACACCTCACCACACTTGGCAGCATAGTATACATCTTTTTGAATTCTACTATTAATCGTATGTATGCTTTTTTTCTACTATTAATCTATGTGTGCCTATATATTTAAAGTGAAATTCTTATAGGTATCATACAGTTAGGTCTTGATTTTTTTAATCCAATCTCATTTGGGCATTCAGTTGATTTACATTTAATGATCAGTTATATGAACGAATTTGATTTTGCTATATTTTCTATTTGTCTCATCTTTATTTCTGTTCTTCTTTCTGACACTTTTATTTTTTATTTTTTTAATTTTTATTTTTTTGGTATGGGGATCAAACTCAGGACCTCGCGCTTGGCAAGGCAGGCGGTGGAACCACTGAGCTAAATCCCCAGCCCATTTCTGACACTTTTAAATTGAGCATTTTCATAATTACATTTTTGTTTCTTTTGTTGCCTTATCAGCAACTGTTGTGCATTTTAGCAGTTGCTTGTAATTTTATAGCATGTTTCTAAGTTACCATGAAGTGAGTTATCTGATGTATCATTTTGCTGTATCTATCTACCTACCTATCTACCCACCTACCTACTTATCTATCACAATACTTTCATTTCTCCCCTCTAGACCTCTGTATTACTGTCATACATTTTTATTTCTATATGTTATAAACCTCACAATATGTTAATTATTAAACATTAGATAACTTTTAAAAAACTTTATAAGCATGCCTATAATCTCAGCACTTGGGAGGCTGAGGCAGGAAGATCATCGTCAGTTTGAGGACAGCCTGGGCTACATAGAGTTCAAGGCCAACCTGAACTACAAAGCAAGACCTTGTTTCAAAAAAAAAAAAGAACTTTATAAGAAAAAAGCTTTATGTTTATACATGTAATTACCACTTCCATTTTCTTTCTTTCTTAGTATTAATTCAGATTATTTTCCTTCTGCTTAAAGACCTTCTTTCTAACTTTCTTGTAATGCAGGTCTGCTAGTGATGAAGTCAAAGTTTTGCAGGTATAAAAAAGCATTTCACTGTTTCTGTTTGTAAAAGATACTTTCACTGTATATGAAATTCTAGGTTGATTTTTTTTCTTTCAATACTCTAAAGATCTTTTTCCTCTGCTTTTTGGCTTGCAGTGATTTTTATGAGAAGTCTGATGTTTTATATTTGTGTGTAACACTTTCTGAATGCTTCAAAGATATTCTCTTACTGATTTTAAGTAATTAAATTAAATTAAATTATTTATTTTTGTATCGGGGATCAAACTAAGGACATCGCACTTGCCAGGCAGGTGTAGCACCACTGAGCTATATCCCTGGCCCAGTAATTTAATTTTGATATATGTCCCTTGTGATTTTTTTCATAGTTTTTGTGCTCGGTGTTTATTGAGCTTTTTGGGTATGTGGCTTAATATTTTCATCAAAAGTAGACAAACTTTGTCTATTTTTTTCTTCAGATATTCTTTTTTGTCCCTCTTTCTGATATCTGTAGTTATGCTTGTATTATGCTGCTTTAAGCTATACCACAGTTCGCTGATTTGTGTGTGTGTGTGTGTGTGTGTGTGTGTGTGTGTGTGTGAGAGATATGTGTACTTTTCAGTCTTCTTTCATTCTGGATAATTTCTATGACTGTCTTCAGATTTTTTTTCAATGTCTAATCTGTTGACTTCGGTTAGTGTATTTCTGCTCTCACACCCTGTAGTTTTTATTTTGTTTTCTTTTTGTTTGAGACAGAGTGTTGCAATGTAACCTTGGCTGGCCTAGAATTTGTGATCCTCCTGTCTCAGCTTCCTGAAATGCTGGGATTATAGGCATGCATCATCATGTTTGGTTCAGATATTGTAGTTTTGACCTGTAGATATTAGATTTGGGTTTCTTAAATATTTGACAAGTCTTTACTTGCCCAGTCTTTCCTTTGGCTAAAAATGTGGAATAGAGATATAGTATATTTATCTTCTAAATCTATCTGTGTAATTTTTGAATTGGTTTCAGAAGTTTGCATTTTTATGAGTTTTATTTTCCTGCTTTGTATGCTTGGTTATTTTTTATAGGATTCAGACACTGTAAATTTCACTTTAGATATTTTTCTATTCTTATAATTTTATTTGAGACAGGGTCATACTATACAGTTCAGGCTGGTCTTCAACTCACTATGTAACTCTGGTTGGTCTCAAACTTGCCATGATCCTCCTGTTTCAGCCTCCCGAGTGCTGGGACTAAGGCATGCATCACCATAGCCAGCCATAATATTCCTATAAATGTCCTTGATCTTTGTTTTGAGATGTAGTTATATGGACACAATTTGATTCTCTCAGGCCTTGCTTTTAAAATTTGTTAAGTGGGACCAAAACAACCTTTAGTGCAGGGTTTATTTTACCACACTAATAAAGCAAAACTCTCCTGAGTATTCTACCCAATGTCCTGTGAATTACGAAATTTTTCACTCTCCTGGTGGGAACAGGATATATTCTGGGCCTTGTATATGCTCCAGGGGTTAACCATTATAACTTTGTAAGTTTTTTCACTTTTTCTTATTCTGGCCTTAGGCACTCCATTCACTTGCCTGCCCTGACCAGTACTCAGATGAATGGCTGAGCAGAATCCTCTGAAGCTCTCTCGAGTCCATGGTGGAGCTCTCACCTCTGATATTCTTACAAATGCTAGCCACCTTAGCCTCCAAAATTCCTAGCTCCAATGCCATCTCTACCAGTGTTTGTCTGTTTTTCCCCAATATGAGCAAGGACCCAAAACTCTCTCTAGGAAATCAATTGGACAGTTACAGGGCTTATCTCCCTTGTTTTTTGTCTCTCAGGGATCATCATCTTTCACTGACTAGTGAACAGTATCTTGAAAACTTTGTTGCACATATTTTGTAAGTTTTTGTTTTTAAAGTTCTTTTACAAAAAGTACTTTCAAGACTGAGGGCAAATCAAGCCCCTATTAATCCATCTTGGGAGGAAGTGAATTTTAAATTCTCTTTTGGATAAGTTAAACTGAAACTATCTACCTGGACTCAAGTAAAAAGTGTTATTATGCAGGCACTTGGATTACTTCTTGAGTCTCAAGCTGAAGAAGATACCAGGGACCCAGTTATACATTTATGAGAACAGAGAAAGGACAGAATTTAAAGCTACTGGACTTGATGAATCTTAAAAAACAAAAAAAGGGTCAGCAAACTACGCTTCTGGGAGCAATTGTGGAATGTGGCCCTGTCCAAAGATTTTATGAGTAAAATTTTTCTAAGTAAAAATGTATTGGAACACAGTCATGCCCAACTGTTTACACTAAGGCTGCTTTTGCACTACAAACAGCAGAGCATTCACAACTGTAAATATTTATTACCTGCTCTTTATAGACAAAGATTCCCAGTAAAAGACTGTCCCTGGCCCATGAGATGAATGTAGATTAGAGAACAGCAGCACTGCACTGTGCAGAATCCCTAATCCAGGCGCTCAACAGAGGAAAAGAAATCAGGAAGTACAGATCACTGAGAACTTTAGTTTAAAAAAGGGGAGATGGGAATGAATAATCGATAATGCAAAATAGGAAGAAAAGGTCCAAAGGGGTAGGGGTAGTGGGAGGGGCAGGGGAAAGGCAAGAAGGGAAAGGAAAAATGATGAGAAATGGAAAAAGTGGAAATAAAGTCTTTGTAAATAGGGAAGGGTGGAGGGGGTGAAGGGAGGGCTAGGAATGGGGAAAAAATAAGAACCAAGATGCATTATGTAAAGGTACAATTCCCAATGAGAAATGTAATTGTGTTGTATACCTACAATGTACCAATAAAAGAATTTAACAACAACAAAAAAAGGGAGATGGAAAGGAGATATGGAAAAATGTGCAGTGTAGGAAGTTCTCTAAAAACAGGAGATATAAATTATAGCACTTTCACCCCCATCCTGGGGATCAAACCCAGGACCTCACGCATGTTACCCATGTGCTCTGCCTCTGAGCTACAGCCCTAGCCCCATAACATATTTTTATGTTGGTGAATTTGACTAAGCAGTGGCAAAACTGAGGGTGAGGAATAGGATGGGACTGTTGCAGACACTGAAGGAACAGAGGAGAAAGTGAGACAAGGTCAGCCAGTAGATGCTCCAGTTAAAACAAGTGGGGCATATGTTGTCATTTTTTTTTTTTGTCTCCCTTGTCTTACTGACTGAGCTGGCCAGGTGGCTCCTGAAGCTGCAGTAATAACACACAAGCACCTTAGGATGGTTACAGTATATTTTACAGAGGAAATAACATATAGTGTGGATATATACCTGTTTTACTACGCAACTGACAAAAATGAAGCTACATGACATCTATATATAGAATTCCAGCTGATTTTCTCTACTGGTACAATGTTGGGAAATGGTGAAATTTATATTCCAATACCAAAGAGTTTGCATAATCCACAATAAAATTAAAATTATGTCCTCATGGTGTACAAGTTATCATATAACTAGTAATACGGGTGTATTAGAACACAGCTACATCGGGAAGTTCAGCTTCATTAATAAGTTCAAAGACTCAATGCCTAAGAACTAAAATAATCTTTTCTAACACTATGTTAATAGGAAATGTGTTTCAAGGTTTTTAATAAGAAATCTGTAAAACTGTTTTAGAATTTAGTTTTAATTGATGGACGGTTAACTTACCAATCCTCATCAGCTAAAAGCCTCAGCGCTTCTGTCAGTGCTACTTCAGGTTTGGAAAATGGCCGTAGCTCCAGTGAATCCATTATTTCCGGACTATGAGTGACAGAAGACATTCTTTCTTTATGCTGTAGCATGGCTCCAGGAGATGCTTCACCTAAAACGAAACATATTAAATACAGCTTGAGGAACTTACAAATGGTATACAGATGCTAGAAATATTGCTTGCAGAAACTAGCAGTGTAGCAGACATCTCTACCCAGTATTAGCAGACTCTGGTTCACTGCAACCCAGTCCCAGCACCCTTTGATCTCTCCAAGCAAGACAAGCAGTACCTTTCCCCTTTACATCCCTGTCTGCGTATCAGACATGCCTGCCTGCACAGCCATCACCAGATGCTTTGGATGCTTCACACTGTGGAGCGGGATGTCATCCAAGCAAACCTTTCCTACCTTCCCACACTTGTAGCTAAGAAGATACTGGGTGCCCTCCCCAGAGCAGCACTGATCAGTCCAAGACCCCAACTTTCTCTAAGTCTCGTCTCATTGCTTTTCTTTCTTGTTTTTTTTTTCTCTCTGCTACCAGGGATCAAACTCAGTACCTTGTGGTTGCCAGGCAGGCACAGCTCCTCTGAGGTCCAACCCTGGCCCGGGCCCTAAGTCTTGTTTCTGCCTTTGCTTTTATTCAGCTTGGTGCTGTGCCTTCACAGGAGACCAGGACCCATTGCAGAGGTCCGGTAACATTCCCTTTCCCATTCCCTACATAGTAGTATGACTTTATTTTTCAAAAACACTGTAATACTTGGAAATAAGCTATTTAAATTTTAATTTTTCTTGAAAATTAATAAATTCCATATAATACAAATATATAAGTGGGTTTTCAGTCATGAGTCATTAAGACCTGGAAGAATATGACCTCATTTGTAAAAGCATATGGATAAATACCCGTTTTACTGTAAAACTGACAACTTAAAAAAATGAAGCTATATGACATCTATATATGGAATTCCAGTTGGTTTTCCTTATTGGTACAATATTCATGGTCTCAGGCTGGGGATTTAGCTCAGTGGTGCCGCTGCCTGCCTCACAAGCTCAAGGTCCCAAGTTTGATCCCTGGTACCAAAACAAAAAACAAAACAAAACAAAAAATATTCATGGTCTCTTACAAATCCTAAGATCATGTATAGTACCATGAACAATGTTTCTTCCACAATCACAGACTTGTTAAACATTGTCCAGATGTAAGGCACTGTGGTAGTGGTGTCCTTGAGTGCTCAAGATAATGTCTTGAGAGCACGCCACAAGGTAAGACAAGAAAGCGGAGATGTTAGAAAGGAAAAGATCAAATGAGGATGGGTTGTTGTTACTGGTCCTTTTTCCACATTAAGAGATATTTTTAAGAAGGAGCATTAGGCACTAGAAAATGAATGTTATGAAAGATTATTAATCGCATTTGGGAGAAAATGTTACATGACACCCCAGATATAAGAAATTTCACTTGATGTTGTGCATTAATCACATATTTAAATGCTTGTACCATTTAAAATCCAAAGCCAACGAAGTATTAATCACATTAACTACTATTTATTAAATACCATGTGCCACACATTGTGATAAATGTTCTACAAACTTTACTGCATTTATCTCAACAAAGCTGAAGAAGACACTCTCATGATCTTTACTTGTTTTTTCATACAAGGTCTTAGTAAATTGGCCAGACTGGGCTTGAACTTGCAATCCTCCTGCCTCAGCCACCCAGAGTGCTGTGATTACAGGTGTACACCTCTATATCTAGCTCATTACTTTGCAGCTGAGAAAATAACTGAATTTTGCCAAAGGTAAGAAATTTGTTTAAGGTTCCAGTGCCAATCAGTGGCAATGTCAGGACTTAAGATTTAGGACCATAACCTATTGCTTTATATGAAGAGATTAAAGACAGAATCTCTGTTTTAAAAACAAATTTTTTTTTAGACAGGGTCTTGCTATATAGCTCAGGCTGACCTTGAACTCACTTTGTAGCCCAGGCTAGCCTTGAATTCATGGCAATTCTCCTGTCTCAGCCTCCTGAATCCTGGGATTACAGGCGTGGACCACTACATCTAGCTCAAGATATATTTTTTAAATTTAGTTTTTTAAAAAGGAGACATGAGAAGAATGTATTAGAGAGAGATATAGGACGAACTTAAGAGTAAAGTACAGATGCTCAGAGCAATGAGGCATTCAAAATATTTTAAAAATGTTAATGCACATCTTTTTACAAGTTTTTACTTCTATTGGTACATGTTTGCAGTACATAATGATTACACTCGTTGTGGGGAATTGGTACATGTACATAACACACCCCACTTCCTTCCCCCTTCCCTTCTATCCACCTTGCTTTCAATCCCCTTGATCACATGCCTGATGCTGGTAAGAAAATATATATAAAAAAATAAATAGTACTAGAGATCAATCAATACCAGACTTTATATGAATAATCATATCTGAGGAAGATGATGTACCAATTAAACAATTAACCCATTTCATTGTTTTGATGGTTCAGATGTACCCTTATTAGGGCTCATGTATAATAGAGATATGTATAAATAAAACTATCTTTGGAACATTACAACTCTGAAGGAATAGCAAATACAAAAGTGTACTACAAACCATCATTTATTGAGATACTGTATTGCTTGGTACTGTACTTAGTGCTTCACCCACATTATCTCATTGAATTCATTCAACAACTCTATGAAATAGATATTATTAATCTTACATCACATACAAAGAAACTAATGCTGAAGTTTTAAGAATTTCCTCACTATAATATCTACTCCATTCCTACTCTCACGGCACTTCACTGGGAAGAGATAAACAGATAAACACCAAATTTTCAACCTTGGCATTATACCAACATCAACTACTATCACCTCTGTTTATTTTATTTTTCCCCTGAAAAGAGTGAAGCAAAATGAATGTTATTTTGGAAAAGGAGATGTACAGAATATCAATCTAAAGCAGTACTGCTCAAACTAATTCTTTTTTTTTTTTGGTACCAGGGATCGAACTCTGGACCTTGTGCTTGTGAGGCAGGCATGGTGCCACTGAGCTAAATCCCTGACCCCTAAACTAATTCATTTTTAACTGCAACTTTTTTATTTTTTGTGGTCTGGGGACCACAAAGCAAGCAGTTTCTCTACCACTGAACTACATCTCTTGCTCTAGACTGATACTTCATAAACTTCAATAAATGAAATGTCCAATTGTTACGTTTCTAAAAGCTAAACACTTTTTGTATTTACTTTGTCATAGATAAGTAATAAGCACTTCATCCAGTCTCTGGACCATACTTTGAGTAGCACTAATCTAATGGATAGAAAGCTCCTTAAATGGAGACATATCCAATTAGAAATGTGCTATTAGAGGGCCGGGGAATTAGCTCAGTGGTTCTGCTGCCTGCCTTACAGGTGCAAGGTTCCAAGTTTGATCCCTGGTACCAAAAAAAAGGAAAGCTGCTATTAGAAATTATTTCTGCCAATATGTTTGTAACTATAAACAGACCTAAACATTTAAATTTTGGTTGATCAACATAAAAATTTTCTAAGTATATACTGATGTATAAATAATATAAGGGTGACTCCAAGAAAGCATTCTTCTTATACGTCTCAAAAATTTAATATGTAGGGCTGCGGATTTAGCTCAGTGGTTCCACTGCCTGCCTCACAAGCACAAGGACCCAAGTTCAATCCCTGGTACCAAAACAAAACAAAACAAAAATTTAATATGTAAAGACTACATTATCAGAAAACTCACAAAATTAGTTGATGTCTCTAGCAAGAATTTATGATTTATTACTATCTGTGCCATTTGTTATTATTTGGACATCTATCCTATTAACACGGGCTTGGATGGGTAAGAAGTTCTGTAGGTTTGTTTCCTCTCCCCAGATTTTACGATATTAACAAACAATGAAATTACCTGGTAATGCAAGTATGGTTAATTTCACAAATGGCTACATTCAACAGGTTGTAGGGCCATGTTTAATCAGCAATATTATAGGCCAACACCTCTCATCAACCATACTTTAACCAATGATTAGCTCTGTGAACACAGAATTTCAGAAAGTTTTCTCTCTTCTTACATTATAAAAGAAATATAAGTTAAGGCAGTACCTCAAACTTCATCTCATTTACCTCTTACTTTTATCTTTAAAAAGTATGTTATCCAAGATTACATTTATATATTAACTTTTACTATTCCTTTGGAGATATCCGGACTTTAGACCTAAAATAAATTTTATAATTCATTGTAGTTCACAGTTTATTTCCTTGATTTAAATATTTGGCAAAACATAATAATTAAACAATAATTTTTATTATTTATTAGTTCACAAATTTTTTTCATTTCAACATAGGATTTTTTTCCTTGTTTGCTATTATACCTAAGATCTAGTCAGTGTTTTACAAACAGCACAGGAACATGGAGCCTACTATTCCCTAAGCATAGAACACAGAAGTACTTAATGGCAAGCTGAATAAAAGATAAAAATGACTGTTTAAATATAAACCAGCTTTAGACTGGGGATTTAGCTCAGTGCAAGTTCAATCCCTGGTACAAAAAAAACAAAAACAGAAAACCAAAATATATATATATATGTCAGCTTCACTATCTCAGTTATGTCAGCTGTACAATGGGATACCACTCCTTAGTCCAAAGGGAGTATTTCCAGTGAGCGTGTAAGGGACGGTTGGGATAATCTGCACCTTTGAGACAACTGAGATAGTTCCAGGGGCAGAAAACTGAGGGCTGTTTCCAGATCTCAAAGCTATTGAAGGGCAGCACTCACAGGTCTGTCCATTCATTCCTAGTTCAGTGCTCTTTCTGTCACAAATACACTGGTCTCCGTTATTTGTTAACGTTTATTATCTAGATGTTCCTCTAAAGGCTCCCATGCTCATAGGCGGGCTTTGGGGAGGTGTCTGGATCGTGGGTGTGACAGTCATCAGTGGATGAGTTTATAGCTAGCTGTGATGTTGAGAGTTGGAACACGGCTGGAGCAGGTGGATCACTGCAGGTGTGGCCTGGAAGGGTATATCCACCCCCTCACTCCCATGCCTGATGTCTCTCTGCTTCCTGCTGCCATGCTATGAAGGTACTTTTTCTCTGCCATGCCATCTTGCTTTGGAGCCAGTGGACTATACTGAAACCTCTATAAACTGTGCCAAAATAAACCTCTCCTTTAATTTTCAGGTGTCAGGTATCATGACTCAGTGATGTGAAAGTAACAGATAAATTTTGGTACCAGAGAAGGTAAGTTGTTGCTGTGACTACTTGATCATGTGGTCCAGAGCCTTTGGTTTGCTGGAGGAGTTTGAAAAGGTTTGGTGATGTCAGTTAGAGAAGCAGCCCCAGAATGCTGTGAACTGAGTTTGATGAGAGATTCTGTTCAGAGCCCAGAAGGTCAGAATGTTGACAGTAATGCAGCCAGAAAAAAAACAGGATTAGGATGTTTCTTTTGGGAAAAAAGACTCCAGGCCACGCGTGTATGCTCTGGCAGAAAATTTCTCTGCAATTTACTCATCCCCAGAGACTTCAAGGGAGACTGAGATTAAAGGCAAAAAAACTAATTAATCTGACAGTGGAAATTTCAAGGCAGCCAAACATTCAGGTTGTGGCTTGGGTACTGTTGGGAGCTTTTAGCCACCTCTATGTTGCAAATCAAGAGCAAACAACCCTGCGGAATGATGTACAAAGTTTTAAGTTTGGCCATAAAGGAAACTCCAATAAAGATGAAGATAACTTGGTTGCTGGAAATATTAGCATTAAAAAGAACCCAATTCGGGCCGGGGATGTAGCTCAGTGGCACAGCACTTGCCTGGCAAGTGCAAGGTCCTGAGTTCGATTTCTAGTACTGGGGAAAAAAAAAAGACTTGAAAAAGAAGCCAATTCCATGCTGCCTGCCTCGAAAGCGCAAGGTCCTGAGTTCAACCCCTGGTACCAAAACAAAACAAAACAAAATGAAGCCAAGTACTTTGGAAGAGGACAAGAGGAAAAATGCCTTGAAGGAACTGTGAAGAATCAGCAAGGCTCTACCCTATCCAGGCTCAAAATTCCAATAGTGAGGGGTCGTCCTCGGTGGGCGGCGCGAATAGCTGCCCCAGCGGAGCCTGGAGCGCCCGAGTCGGTTCCGAGTTCGCGGACGCCCCGCCCCGCACTAGGCGGGGCCCGGCAGTGGCGGGAAGGGCCGAGGCGCTCGGGGCTTCTGTTCCGTCACCGCGGACACCTCCCCCTCCCCAGCCCCGGGCCAATGGGGCGGGTGAGGCGAAGGCAGAGAGAGCCAGGAAAATGCTTCTAGAAGAAAAACAATTGAGATTCACATACAGATGTTTTCATATTGAGTTCCAGAACTGAAAGAGAAGTTGGAGGTCTCCATCCATTCATCTACTTCACACATCCCAACAGAGAAAATGAAGACCTCTTCTGAAATGGAAGTTATTTTGCTCAGGACCACATTTCATTTCTGCACAAGGGACAGTTGAAACAGAGGCAGAACAGGAAAGAGGACAAAAAAGAAATGAAGTGACAGGAAGAGAAAGGGAAAGATACAGCACAAGAAGAACATCCATCAGAAAGAGAACAGTATAGATTTAGTTACAGATAATGACTGAGCCAAGAGCCACCCTCAGTCACAGGAGAGTAGACGTAGAGATACAGGTCCTGCAAGTGGCATTCACAAAAACTGAAACAGGAGGAAGGATGGAACACACAGGGAAAAGTGGAATGAGGCATATGAAAAGAAAACAACAGTCTTTCACAGGACAGTATCCCTTTTAGGCTAGCACCAAGAAAAGCCATATTGCATTTAAAGAAACGTGGCACAGCCAGGCATAGTGGTACATGCTTGTAATCCCAGCTACTTAGGACTCTGAGGCAGGAGGATCACAAATTCAGCCAGGCATGGTGGCACATACCTGTAATCCTAGCCTTTGGGAGACTAGGAGGATCCTGCGAGTGTAAGGCCAGCCTGAACTACGTAACGAGACCCTGTCTCAAAAACACAAAACAAATAAGCAGAAAGTAAAACTTAAGTTTGAGGCCAGCCCGGACAACTTAGTGAGACTATCACAACATTCTCCTCTCCCGCATTAAATGGGGAGGGGGGGAAGAAGGTATGGTGATGCACGCCTGTAATCCTGGCACTCAGAAGGCTGAGGCAGGAGGATCATCTCAAGTTTGATGGCAGCCTGGGCTACATAGTTCAAGGCCAGCCTAAACTACATAGTAAGACCCTGTCTCAAAAAAACAACCAACCAAATTCTACACATACATACATACATAAAAACGATTCCTCCACCTGCCTCACAGCATAGCTGGGAGAACTAGGTGAGAATATTTTTAAAAATACATATTAGGGGGCCAAGGATTTAGCTCAGTGGTTCCGCCACCTGCCTTGCAAGCACAAGGACCCGAGTTCAATCCTTGGTACCAAAATATATATATACATTCACGTATATATGTGT